TGTTAGCAGCTCAGCCCTGTGCCACTGTGCTGCAACAACCAAAAAGGTACGAGTAATCAGCGTTCTGCTGATGCTCTGCACAGGATAGTATATATAGTCAGCGCAGCGCCTGACATATGCCTCTAAGTAACACGACCGCCTATACTAATCTAAGTAGTCTTACCTACGCCGTTATATAGAGTAGTTAAGTTATATAGCTATAAGATATAGAATATAAATTTAATAACTAATAGCTTCAATTTCGGCGATTAGCACTACGTATAAGGTAGTTAAAGATAGACGCTAGTATTAATAAGATCTAATTTATTACTATCTTAATATTTAAAATAATTATAACTATTAATAAAAAGTAAGACTATAAAGATAGCTCTACTATAGCTAATTATATTATACTATAAGGTATAGAATAGTTTAGAAGGCTTACCCTAGAACTAATTAAGGGGCTAATTCGCACTAGACTATAATAGGTAAGAATTAGGGTCTGATCCGCGTTGTATACGCGCGTTTTTGGATCAGGGTGCATGATTACTTGATTAGGATAGATTAGGGGTCCAATCCACGTAGCATCATATACTAGACTGCCTCCTCTGTATTGTCGCAAACATATCATTCACTCTTACTTATATTCTATTTCCTCTAACTTATCACTGATTTGTTACAAAAGCTGTTCACTCCTCTACCTAACATACCTAGTCAACCCTTACACGGATGCTTTATTATGGATGCTAATCTCGTACAATCTCGTCTAGAGGCACCGAGGTAGGATCATCTGGTCTGCGTATGTGTCCAAGCCGCACCAGATCTCTCGTAACCAAATCCCTAAAGTTCGAATCGCGATCTATCCATCTATGAAGCATTCCCACCTCATAGTCGGATTGTTTGTCCTCATCAATTCTTACATCCTGGCCTGCAATATTGGCACTCCAACTGTATGGCGCACTTTCTGAGCATTTGAATTCCTTGAGGGGGTTGCTCTGGTCCTGTGGTTGTAGAACGGCGATGTCTTTCAAGACACGGACTGAGAAGTGTATTGTCTCGTACATATCATTGTGGTTCCTGTCAATTTGGCAACCACCAGTAGGGTCTGTAGGTTCCATTCGACTCTTCCCAATGGAACGTGTTCGAGACCCAGCAAATCTCCACACACTCGAGAAAGAGTTGTACTTTTCCACGCCCAGAATATCTGTATTCTCTTTGGCCATGTTATAATGTAGAATGGATCCGCTGGCTGTAGCATACCAGCACGATTCGTGGTTAAACTTGACGGCATCGCGGAGCTGCGAAATCATCCAGCATAGCGTAATATTTGCGAGGCCACTATTCTCACCTCCACCGCCAATGTCACTGTGGCTGCCACGAAACCAACACTGCTTAAGTTGCTCTGGTTTGGAGGGCACCAGGATAGTGGGCTGGAAGTAATATCGCCTTTCATCCAATGCAAGCGCGTGGTACGCCTTCGTTACATTAGGGGGAAGCTTCTCATCCATGAAGTCAAAACGCTGCTCCGACTTTCTGAAAGGGTTTGGCCACGGGCTTCCTAATGATCTCACTGTATCCCATGCAGCGTACGCCTTGATCTTGACATTTCTTCGCAGCATTCTGTCTGATACGAGTCGCTCGCAATGATTTTTCAGGTCCCCATCTTCAGTCGGAGATTGACCGGTAGCCCACAGGTCGAAAATTCGGGGGAGCTCTTTGTTGACTGACGCGTTGTGAATAATTCCGATATCATTGATGAGTCTTGCCAAACATTGAATCGTGTAGGCCCCTCTCGAGAAGCCGATTAAGACGATTTCGTCCCCATCTTGGACATATGTTGAGCACACATGACGATAAGCTTCACGGATTTTTCTTGAAATACCTGTTCTTGTAAATTAGTTCAAGCAAGTTTCCTAAAGTTATGTTCATGTTTAACATAACCCTACAAGGAGTTATCTCACTAACCTGAGCCAGTCGCGCCACTTTTACCTCTCCCAAGCCATGTTGTACCAGTTCCGATACCATCAATATAATAGGGCAACTGATCATAGCGATTGTTGTTGGTATCATCTTGAGGTTCTATACAGCTCAGGATTCTCGTCACGTTTGTGAAGGGTTGCTTTGTCTCTCGGTCGTTCCAGGTACCGTCACAGCAGATAATAATACGTCGGCGAATTTCGGGTGAGAGTAACTGCAATAGCGCACCTCTCATGTCTGAAGATGCTGCATATAGCATCGGCGTCTTCCCTTCCTCGTCCTCCAAATCCACATCTGCCCCGTTCTCAACCAACGATCTAATTATTCGTGATTCTCCATTGGTGTAATATCCTTCGCTGATTTTTTTTGTTACCAACGAAAGCGCCGTTTTCCCTGTCTTATCCATAGATTGAACGTTGGCTCCATGTTGAAGAAGCAGCTTCACGATCTCAGGACTTCCATTAAATGCAGCCAGTGAAAGAGCGGTTTGACCATTTTGTTCTTCACTCTCGATGTCAATGCCACCCTTTTGGAGAAGTAGGTCGACTATATTCGTGCGCCAGTTCATGGCGGCTAATGACAACAATGAGCGTCCCCTCTCGTCCTTACAGTTAAGGTCTACGTCGGGGTTTTGAAGAAGGTTCACCAGTGCATTCTCATCGCCGTGTCGTACGGCGCTAAGTAGATGGTCCATGACTCGAATTGGGTCGGCTGTACTGGATTAACGCGCTTGCTATAAACCACTTATATCGGAAGTATTGTAGAAATTCTCTAAGGGGTTTCTCGTTTGGACTTGGGATACCCGAAAACTAAGATAAGGTGATGTTTACTTACCTGTGATAGTGGTAACCACAGTCTAGCTGCGTAGGCTCGCTATCTAAAGCTCCAAATGCGAAATGCTATGGAGACCGGATTGATAAGAGAGGCCGTTGTCAGCTTTCCCCGCTTGCGTGCAGTGGAGATACGTTCCTCCGACGTCCGCGTCTTGATCCATCAAGCATGTGTCTGCATCTAGGTCTTCAACACGTATCCAGTCACTATTCGTTCAGATTTGTAGGGTATCCTGTGGAGTTGGCATCTTATTAGCTAGCCTCACAGGCAGATGATCAGATGCATGTAATCACCCAATCACTTCCTGTATTCTCCAAATGAAAGTTAAATATTGGTAAAAGACCCGCTGATAAGGCCTTTCAATTAATGCAGAGTATCCCGCATTAGGATAGCCTTACATAGAAAATCAGACCATATATGCGGCTTGGCTATTCTGCTCGTTGTTGCAAGCACGACAGTATAGTTAGCGGCATCTGCAGTAGATAGTGTATGTAGTTAGTGCGTGCAACAATTCACTCAATGCAACACTATCTGCATCATCAAAATATCGACCCACCCGCTTCAACGCGTGATAACTCCACCATGACAACCTGTCGCAGTGTCCCTATCCTACACAATATGCCCAACCAAACTGTGGTCCCTTAGGAACGATAGTCGGATAGCGCGTTTTACCCCTGCCTATCTACTCACTAGTTCTGTTACAAGTAACACGCAGAAGGATCTTGCCCTGGTTGCTAACCACGAGTGGCCGAACGACTCACTCAGGTTACTGTCAGCATGACCTTGGCGAGGCATGAATCACGTGACTGCTGTCCCGCCAAGACGAGCACATCTGATTGGTGCTTAGTGCAATGTTCCCATTGGTCGTTCCTGCTCAGTACGGAGCATTGTGGGTCCTGCTTAGTAATGAGCGCTGCTCAGTGATAAGCAGTCACATCATTGCGGCACGGTCGTGGGGGCCGAATCCTTCAAACTGCTTACAGCCGTCTGGACATCAGCACTTTGAGCGTGAGACTTTTGGCTTCCTTGTGTACGGGTCCGTAGGATCATAACAGCTTCTAGAAGCTGGTAGTACGCGCCACAGCTAATTTTAGCACCTAAGTGCTACGGGCATAGCGCCAAATTTGTTACGATAGCATACGACGACATCTAAGCACGCTACTATACACTACTACATGCTAAGTTCCGCTAACAACGCACGTCCTATAGGACGAGTTTTAACGATCTTATTATCTAGGCGGAGAAACTGTTAGAACGTGCCTATAGTACTCTAAGCTAACCTTACGTAGCGGCAGTGTTAATCTTTACTCTTCTAGCTTCCTCTCTAGCCTACTAAGCTTTTCGCAGATACATGCTGTCGTAAACAGATAAGAGCGGATTAGAGATGTAACGGCTCAGCACCCGTTCCTACATCCATCCGAACAGGATCCGAACTAGGGTACGATTCGGCCTAGTGGGAAAAACGACTATATAAACCTAACCTCTATAATAGCTTATTAGGTAGATTTT